AGTAGCAGCCGTCTCAGACTGCTTTACAGCTCAGGCAGGGTGCCCCAGGCAAAACACTGGTGGGGGCTGATCTTGACCTGCACCACCCACAAAACCCCAGAGCCAACACACCCAGTGGATAGTTCCAGACCACACTGGCACACTACCACCCTGCCCCTGCACAGCTGATTCTCCATGGAGGGTGGAGGTTGGTGGTAAGTGGTCACAGCCAGTCCTTACAGCTGATTGGCCTGGGAGATATCTGCCAATAGCAACCAATGCTCCAGCTACAACAGGAGGTTGTAGTCAGCCCAAACAAAAGGGTGCACCTTGAGTACCCAGCTTGGGTGATAGGGGAGGCTGTGCCACTGGACCCTACAGGACACCTACTACATTATGGCACACTACCAAGACATAGTCAAAGCAGTTTTACCTAATACGTAGAAACAGACATAGGGAAAGCTGCCAAAATGAGGAACCAAAGAATGTTTCCTCATTCTCATCTGTCCCAAATGAAAGAACAGATCAAAACTGCAGGAAAAGAGCTGAACAAAATAGAGATAAGCAATCGATCAGATGCAAACACTGGTTATAAGGATGCTCAAGGAACTTAGTGAGGACCTCAACAGCAGAAAAAAATCTGGTTAGAAACAAAGGATACATTAGTTGAAATAAAGAACAATTTACAGGGAAACAACAGTAGAGTGGATAAAGCTGAGAATCACCTCAATGATTTGGAACATAAGGAAGCAAAAAACACACACAAAACTGTCACACAGAACAAGAAGAAGGGAAAAAATAATGATAGTATAAGCTACCTCTGGGACAATTTTTAAGAGGTCCAACATTCGCCTCATAGGGGTTCCAGAAGGAGAAGAGAAAGAGCAAGAAATTGGAAATCTTTCTGAAAAAATGAAAGAAAACTTGCCTAATTTGATGAAGGAAATAGGCAAGTGTAGGAGGCTCAGAGAGTCCCAACTGTGATGGATGTAAAGAGGCCCAGTCCAAGACACATCATTTTTAAGAGGCCAAAGGTTAAAGGTAAAGAGAGGATCTTTAAAAAAAAAGAGAAAATAAGTTAGTTACTGGAAGGTTGCCAGTTGGGAGGGGAAGGGGGAGAATGGGTGCAGAGGTGAGGGGATTAAGAAGTACAAACAGGTAGCCAGAAGAGTAGTCATGGGGGTGTAAAGTACAGAATAGGAAATGGAGTAGCCCAAGAACTCATACGCACAACCTATGGACTTGAGCAATGGTGGGGGGATTGCCTGAGGGTATGGGGGGTGCTGGGTGGAGGGGGGACCACAGGGAGAAAGTTAGGACAACTGTAATAGCATAATCAATAAAATACAATGAAAAAATAGCTTTAGGTCTGATTCTGTTTGAAACCTGTATTTGTATTTCAGCTTAAGCGACACTAAAGCTGCAAGTGCCCAGTGTCATAAGTTATGTTGTGCAAGGTGGTGTCTGTGACTTCAAGGCTGTTTGTAAGCTTAGGATAGTCAGACCCCGCACCTGAGCAAAACACTGGCCAACAAGCATTCCTCAGATACCAGTTTTAATGAGCTGTCTGCTGTCTTAAAGATGAGGTTAACATTATGACATTAGTGAAATCTCTATTAAATGGTTCTCTAAACCAATTAATGGTGGAGTGAGAATGGAAAAATGTCATTTCATACTCACAACCACATTTACTGCTAATGAACTTCTGCAAATTGTGCTGCAAAGATGGGACTCACGCAATGCTTGTAGCATATAGATGGTATTGGCTGCTAGCTGTTGGCGTTTGAATGCACCATGCCTGTATTGCCGTATGCTCTGATGTTCACTCTTTTGATTACAATTACTACTAAACCCTTGCTCGTACAGTGTGCTCTGAGGATATTTGGCCTGAAGGAGATATTTGTACAACCGAAGAAGCAGCAGAGAAAGCCTACTGGCAGTACTCGTTTGGATGGTAGTTACTCGTGATCCAGAATGTTTATCTTATCTTTTAAATGAAATGTTAAAAAAATTTAGTGTAGAATTCTCAGGCTCCTATTTTTGTCCTGATATATCTGTGACCTCCTGTTGTGAAACACTGCTTGAGCAAATATTTTTCTGATCACTATCTAGGAATCCAGGATTCAAAGATAAGGAAAAAAACAAAAAAATTGGCCATTCTTAATGTAATGAGAGACACTTGAACAACAAACTTTAAATAGTTTGATTTGTGCTATCCTAAAGGTATGCTAAGAGGGCTGTGGGAACTTATCGGAAGGAGCTTCCCAGGTATCTTAAGGGTAGGAGGGGGTTTAGCACACAGCATGGGAAAGATCTTGTTGGAACAGGGGCTTAGAGGATGAGAGGGTGGGTTTAAACTAGGCAGAGAGACAGTGTGTGTTGAGACCAAGATCATGAAAGACACGATTATCATCATGATGAGACATGTGCGGCCCTGGGCAGCATTTGTAACATGAGTGGTAGGTTGGAACCCTAAAGTAAAATGTTTAATTGTTAGACCAAATGTTTAAGTATTACGTCATGTACTCTGAGGGAGCTGTAAAGATCTTAGAACTCGGAGAGTGTCTGTGGCAGAATTTTTACACGTAGCAATTACCACATTCTATTGTGATGTCTCTTTCACTAGTCTTTGGGGATCTTTAAGGGTCGTGACCATGAGTTACTGATCTTTGTATACTAAACTTTTGGCAGGGCAACCGATAAAAAAAAGCTAATGCTTGGAAAGCCTTGGTTGAATGACTACTTATGAGTAAAGAGGATTCATGAGAGAATGATGACAATCTCCTATGGTGGTGGTTTTAATCTTTCGTGGGTGACAGACCGCTTTGTAGTTCTGTTGAAAGCTATAAACCTTCTCCATGAAAATGCCAACATGGCCCTGACCTGTGTGGCTCAGTTGGTTCCGTGTTGTTCCCACAAACAAGGGGAGGGGTCACTGGTTCTATTCCCGGTCAAGGCAGATGCCCTGGTTGGGATTTGGTCCCCAGTAGGGGGCGTGCTAGAAGCAACCAATCAGTGTTTCTCTCTCACATCAGTGTTTCCCTCTTTCTCCCTCCCTTTTCCTATCTCAAAATAAATAAATAAAATCCTTGAAGAAAAGAAAATGCAGATACACACAACATTCGGCTATTGTTTTATGGAATTGATGGCCCTCTGAAGCCAGTCCACACCTTCCTGGCTCAGAATCGCCCCTTAGGTATTGTACTCAAGGAGCCCATGGTCATCACCAAACCGCACTGTGAAGAACTGCTGTATATTAACCTTCTTTCAGTTCTTATACTTTTATTGAGCTCTCTTCATTTGGGGGAAGAGATAATTCAAATAGCTGACTTGTCTATGAAGAAAGAACAAATTTTTTAATATGATTAAGGTATACGTTTTCTGATCTGTAAAGATAATAGGCACATGTGCTAATTAAACCAGCAGCCAAGGAGCGGCTGCCCTGCCCCCGAGAAGATCCTGACATTCCTAAATCTGGATTTAGCAAGTAAGTTGGGTGGTCACCAAGAACACCCTCAAGGCTTGATGGTTTGCTAGAAGGACTCACAGGATTAAGAAAAGCTGTTATAGTGCTGGTTGTGTTTATTTCAGTGGAAAGATTCATATTAAAATCAAAGGAAAAGGTGCATGGGGTGAAGTCTGGGCGTCCTCTCCTAGGGCAGGAGCGCAGGTGCATGCCATAGCTCAGCAGCGGCGTGACGGAGCTTGCCAGCCAAGGGAGCTCACCCAGGCCTTAGCAGCCAGGATTTTTGCTGGAGCTCAGTCAGGTCTGCAGCGTTCTTAAGGGAGAGTATTTCCGGGGTTCAGAGCTCAATTCCTCGGAACTGGTCAAGGGCCAGCCCTGAATGAAGACTATCCTTTCTCAGGAATGTGCAGGGTTTGAGCAACTCAAGCCTGTTGAGTTAACCCTTTCCTACACAGCAAATTAGCTTTCTTCGGCCCGCTCGTCCGCCTAGGCTCTCTTTCTAGATACAGTGGACTTCCTCGGTCCCATCATAGACGGCCATTCCACATACCTGGCCTCTTCCTTTCTTCTTGCCAACAAGTAATTGGAAAGTTTGATTGGTCTTGAGAAATGTGCTTCTCAGTTTCATGAGATTATACAGAAATATAAGTGTGTATTCTGTTCATTCGATGAGTATTTTTGAATGCTGCTGTAATCCTTATTAATGCTAAATAAGGATTTATAGAAGTGATTAACATGGGTCCCTGCCATCAAGGAGCCTATAGTTTCATAGGGGAGAGAAAAACCACAGTAGTGATTCTGGTAAGCATTGTATGCTTTGGGGAGCGGTTAACCGTTGGAGAGGGTGGTGGAAGGCATGTTTGTGTGTGTATGGAAAGGTGTCGGTGATGACTAGGAGATGCAGGTGGGCATGGAGCTGGCATTTCCCCGGTCATTTCTGTAGCCAGGTGCGTGTGTTGTTAGAGTGCATGTGTATATCGTTCATTATTTGTACACTCTCCTTGGCTTACGGAAGGAGTACCCTAATCCTGGCTGGAAGAGACATGTCTTTCTCAGGGTGTGTTCAAGAAAAAGGAGTGGCTTAATACAAATCTGTTGCCATTACTCCGATAACATAAATCTACCCAAATGACATTTCTGACCATTAGTGGCAGGTTGTAGTACTTTCACACGGTGCTTCCCAGTGGAGGAATATATGAATGAATAGATTTACACTGCTAATAAGAATAAGGATAACCAGTAAAAATTTAAATGTACTTTGTTTCAAGTGGGGGGGGCAGATCCTTGCCCTTTACCTCGAAATTGCATGTAACAATCTCTGTGTACTTGAGAGGCAAAAAGGTTTTAGAAAAAACATGGGTGGAAACATCATACTTGGCTCTAACATGTGTGCGCTTCTTAGCAGGATGTGGGACTTCTAAGAGTAAGTTTTGTTTTTTGAACAGTGCAAAGAAATTACTCTGATAGGATCAGGAATGTCTTATAGTGAATATGGGATAATTTCAGTATTAACCTTGAGAATGTTTTCTAATAAAATCTCGTTCTATTTTTCCAGCATTGCAGTGCTTCTGCCACCTTTGCACGAAAGACAATTTTACCTGTGTCACGGATGGGCTCTGCTTTGTCTCTGTCACAGAGACCACAGACAAGATTATACACAACAGCATGTGCATAGCTGAAATCGACCTGATCCCTCGAGACAGGCCGTTCGTGTGCGCTCCGTCCACAAAGACGGGGTCTGTCACAACGCCGTACTGCTGCAACCAGGACCATTGCAATAAGATAGAGCTTCCGACCGTGGGTGAGTTGTCGTGTGAGACATGTTCCTGGTACCAGGAGAACAGCCCCTCCACTCTGACTTCAACTCCAGGACTGGAAGGGGGTCTTAGAAATTGTCTGCCCTAGCTTGTGCTGTTTAGAGGCAAGAAGAAACTTGTTGGTAGTTAGAAGACTATGAGAGGGGCCAAGGTCCTGACTCCTGGGGTGTGTCGTTTGAGAAGGTGGGTCCATGATAGACTTTCTCTGGGGTCTGTTGTGCCTGAAATGGTGACCCATTCAAAGTGAGTTCTGACAAAGCCGCCTGCAGCGGCAAATCCTCAGAATGTCAGACTTCGTCCTCAGAGTGAATTTCTTCTTCCTGGTTTAACGCTCTAGCCTCTTATGGCGATCAGTAACAGATGGGGATGGAAAGCAGCACTGAACAGTGCAGCGCATTCATTTTGTGATTTTTTTTCCCTTGCCTTATGATCTTTATGTTTAAATTACTACATATGATATCTAGGGGTTTGGTCCTTCACTGCAGTTTACATTGAAAATGTCCTGGCAAAGCCAGGAATTTCCAGGATAAACTATTAGGCTTAGATTAATTTTAAGGTTCTGGTTTAAGATATCAGTCTGAGCACATTATTTAACCCTTTTGTCACTTTCCTTGAATTCCAAATTTCTTCTGTAATAATCAAAGAAATATAAAAATAGAGGGACCTATATCAATGCCAGCAGAATTAATGGAATAGTGCTACCCACAAGCCTACACTTGTGAGAAACTTTGCAATTTAGAGAGCAGACAACCTCAGATGAGTGAAGAGTTAACTATATAAGAAGTGAAAGGACCTTTTACAAAATCCACCAATACCATAAGCTGAGGGGCTGGAGCGAGGCTTTAGGGGCAAACTCTCTTAATCCTCCTTCAGGAAGCAACTACTGTCAGTGCTCTGAGGGGTAGGCCACAGTGCTCACATTCTGCTCCGAGTTGGTCCAGGCTTCATGCTGAGTAGCGTTGGAAGCACTGCTATAGCTCGGAGGAAAAGGGCCAGTCCTGCCAGTTAGAGAACCAAGGCCATCCTCACCTGATGGTGACAACAAAGTCAAACTGAGTCACAGCATGATAGGGAGTCTCTCTGTGGCCAGGCTCTGTCAGACCTACTTTCTGGCTTGTTTGGTGAGCTTCTGCAGTACTAGTATGACAAAAGGATAATCCCAAAGTTGCCCATTTTCATTGTTTGGACTTGAAATATTTGAATGGAAACTCACAAAACCTTTATTCCACTTTATTTCTAATGCTAAAAATACATAAATTCCTCATCCCCAAGTCGCTGATGCACAAACAACCAGAAAAATTACCAAATGAAAAGCTTCAATGGTTCAAAAGAAGTAAACTGAACTGGATAAATTGGGTAGATGTCACTCTTAAATAGACTTAACACGTGATGGGGAAGAACTTTCAGACAGACCAAGGTCTGTTTTCAGTGGTTCGCTGTGAAAGGAGAACACTTCACAGTTGGTAAAGATTGCTTTCAGATGAAAAGCTCGATTGATGAGTTCTTTTTTTTAAATACAATATTGAAAGTGAATACTAGACTGGATACTATAATTATATAGTCAAGTGTGAGACATGCTTAAGGCAAGACAAGCTTGAGAAGTTGTGTTACAATTCAGAGAAAAAGACAGTTGGTAACCAAACTAAGAGATACAGAGGACAGACGAGGTGATCCCATATGCTTAGCATAAAAACTCCAGAAAAAAGACAGAAGAGCAGACAAAAGAGATAAGAATACTATGCAAAATTAATTTTAAAATACCTACTCAAATACGTATAATGAAAGACACACCAACTTTTTTAAGATTGCATTTATTTATTTATTTATTTATTTATTTATTTATTTATTTATTTATTTCCAGGCAGAGGAGAAGGGAGGGAGAAAGAGAGGGAGAGAAACATCAGTGTGTGGTTGCCTCTCTCACGCCACCCCTACTGGGAACCTGGGAACCAGGCATGTGCCCTGACTGGGAACTGAGCTGGCAGACATTTGGTTTGCAGGCCCGTGCTCAATCCACTGAGCCACACCATCCAGGGCAGGATAACACCAAATTTAAGAGTAAAGAAAAAGCCCTGGCCAGGTGGCTCAGTTGGAGCTTCATTCCCTACACTAAAAGGTTGCAGGTTTGATTTTCAGTCAGGGCACATACCTAGGTCATGGGTTTGAGTCCTTGTCGCGTTGCGTATAGGAGGCAGCCGATTGATGTTTCTCTCTTTCTCTCTAAGATCAAAGAAAATATCCTCAGGTGAAGATAAAAAACAAAAAAGAATAAAGAAAAAAAGTATATACATTTAGCACAAGTTAACACTGATTCATTACAAAAGGAAAAAAGTTAAGATAGTTTCTGCTTTTTTAAAAATCCAGAAGGCAATGGAACACATAGTGATTGTCACTCAGAATTCTTTAGACAAGCCAAGATTTTTTTATATATAAAGGCAACAGGCACCTTGAGTTAATTAAGTCTTCAGTGTATAAGGATCCATGTTCTATTCCGGAAAGAGATTACTGGAATTAGAATTCTTTGTCGTAAGGGATCAATTCAAATAAGATGTCAGCAGTGGGGAAGAGGTGTTATCAAAGACATGGTGTGCAGTGAACCAGCAGGGTTCAGGGTGATGACAAAGTCATTGTCAGTAATGTCTTTCTGAAACAGTATAAAACAATCATTATCAAAGGATATTGTAAGAAAATAAATGCTCTTGAATTAAAAGCTGAAGTGATTAAAATAGACTAGAAAGTTTGCACATGCAAGCTCTGTTATAAAAATCAAAAGAATATATTTTGCCTAAACACAATTGATGGAGATATTCACACACATACATGCACTAAATGTGAATTGTCTGGAGCGGTGAGGCTGTAGGAATTGTTTTATGACTTTCACTCTTCTGTGTTTACACATTTCCCCCCTGCTGTGAGCATATGTATCCTGGCCTTAGAATAGGAACACATGGCAGAACTACTTAAAAAGAATAAAAGTTAAGAAGACGTTAACGGGAGTTGTTCCAGATTATTGGTTCTTTTATTGGTAACCTGAGAGCAGTGAATAGAGAGGTCCTACAGTGTTGGTGGTAGCTAGCCCTGTTATTTACTTAGATGGCTGGAAAATGCAGGAAGAATACGTGGATGTTGACTGAGTTCGTGATCATAAAAGGGGAGGGGCGGGGGGTGCATGATTCACTCACTCTGGTTTCGAGCCCTGTGAGCGGCTATAGTGAGGCTCCATGACTAATGGCAGTGGTGGCCAACGACAGGAAGTGTGGATGATTAGAAAATTGTGGGTGTCACTGACAGTGTGTTTGTTGTTGTTGATGTCTGTTGCCCTTGCCCTTTTTCAGGAAAGCCGTCCCCAGGCCTCGGTCCCGTTGAACTGGCGGCTGTCATTGCCGGGCCGGTCTGCTTTGTCTGCATCTCCCTCATGTTGATGGTCTACATCTGCCATAACCGCGCTGCCCTCCACCATCGAGTGCCGAATGAAGAGGACCCTTCCTTGGATCGCCCTTTTATTTCAGAGGGCACCACGTTGAAAGATTTAATTTATGATATGACGACATCGGGGTCTGGATCAGGTAATGTAATTGATTTTCCTTTTTCCTAAGCAGTCTTTAACAAATTAACTGAATTCTTAGTTGGCCGAGTCACTTGGCTTAGTTTGTTCAAACTTGAGATAGTATGAATGCAATTGCAGCTTTCAGCCTGAAGAAGGTCTTTAAGCTTGGCCCATATCTGACCAAGGCTAAGTTTAGGATAGACAGATCACAACTTATTTTTCCTGAAATAAGTCAGTGTGTCAGCTTCATGTGTGTGTAAATTCCAGAGCGTTCTCCCCTTCTCACGACTCCATGAGGCAGGAAGGTTAAGGGGAATTACCCTCACCTAGGCGAGGCTGTCTGCCCCTACCTGTTCGGTAGTGTTGGGCACCAGCTTTATTTTTGGTTTTGAAGGCAGGAGTGACAGAAAATGTGTTTCAGATTGTGAAGCTTGTTTACTTTGTCCACATATGACATAGTTTCCTTACCTCGGGCCTAATTTTTTACTAAAGTTATGAATTCTTAGTCATTTTCTCACTTCAGGAAAAAAGTCTGATGAGCTTGTTATTTAATGTAGCTTTATGGATCCATGGCCCCCGTGACCAATGTTCGCTTCTCTCAGGTCTGGTGACTTATGTGGGGTCAGAACTAGATTGGCAAATTGCCGCATTATCCCCTGAAGTGGATTTTGATGGAGCAGTGCTTTATGTCTCAACTGAAGGGGATTCATTTTGTACTCCTTCTTGCTTTGGAAGGATGCGTAAAGGGGAGGACCCCTGTCCCCCCTGTAATTTGACAGGTAGGAATCGGGAGGTCCGGATTCCGTGCAAGCGCTGTCAGTGATTGGCCCTCAGACCTGGGTTAAACCAGCTCTTCTCTGGGCTTCTGTTTCTACATTAGGAATGCGGAACAGTTACCATTGGTAACACGACTTAAGGTGGCTTGTTGGGACTTTTAAATGAGATATGCTATCTAGCCTTTGAAAAGTATAAATCAGCTTCAAATAAGGGCTACATTTATGGACAAATTGAAGATTTGAGAATTTCAGTAATTTTAAAATCAGGTGACTAAAGGAATGTTAAAGCAGAGGTTGTGACTGGGGAAGAATATGACTTTGAAGCACAAAATCACGTCTGATAAGGTTCACGTAATGACAGATGCCTATTTGTTTTAAGGAAATGAATATATATTGATGTATATGCCTGTCTGTTCATTTATTTAAGTATGAAGAAACTGATTTCATGACCTGAAGTCTTCCCCGTAGAATTTGGTGTATATATATATATATATATATATATCCCCCTATCCCCAGTAGTGAGTTCTGGCTGTAGCTTCTAGGACACAGGCAGGCATGCACTGGAGCCCGGGTCCCACAGGGTAGCCTTTGGGGACCCCTGAGACCACTGTGATGAAAGTCAGGAAGGCGTTGGAACGAGATGGAGCAGCCTCAGCACTGACGGCGGGACCGTCTCTGGGCAGGAGCGGTAGAGGAGTGGAGGCTGCTTTAGGGCTGCCTGGGCTTTCCCACTGATTCTGGGTTAGTCCAGATCCGAAAGGAGTTCTGGCTCTTACTAGAAGTAATTCTGGACCAAAATACTATGATAAGCAAGGGCCAAAAGTCACGGGAAATCAGGGTGTCTGCAAATCACTCGGAGTTAATTAATCTCTTGGTCCAGTTCTGTTGTTGACAGACTTACGCCCAGGTACTCAGAGCAGCTCAGGGCACTTGGCACAGGGGTGCGTGTCAGAGTGCAAGGTGAGCGGACCTGCCTAGAGGGTCAGCAGGAATCGCTGTCTGGAATCGCTGTCTGGATGGCAGCTAATTTTCCAATAAGAATACGTTTTATTTACCGTAAAGATACAGACAGGTAGTGAAGAGTGGAATTATTCTTTTTCCATTTCGTCCTTATTTCCAGAGCCATCAGAGATCAGAGCTCTGTTGTCTGAAAGCTTCTTGCTTCCCTCACCTGCCTTGCCCGCGGACACTTGTCTGCAGTGTTTGCTAGCTTGGTGGTTTGGGGCAGTTGGATGATGTCTCATGCCTGAGTTATTTTATCTTTAAAATGAAAGTAATTGGCTTGTTGTGAGTGTCAGATGAGACAAAGATGTTTGTGTGAAAGCACGTGGTAGGTGCTGAAAGTGTGTCCAAATGACCAGCTGAAAAGATGTTTAGAAGAAAAATCCGACGTACGATATCCATTTGCTGCATTGTACAAAAAAGCCTGGTTTAAGGCCTCCTTTCCCTGTCGAGTGCATTGTGTGCCTAGTGGCCTCCAGATTTATCCAGACAGACGCTTTCGTCTGTTGATTGATAGCAAAAAATGCTCTTTCCCTTCTGTTCATTGTGAAACCTTATGCACCTCATGCACCGGACTCATGCTTGTGAGTAAGTAAACTGTGTACATAACACCTTTTTTCGTTCTTCACATGTTGAGGAACAGGTAAAACTAAACGTTCAATGTTGTGAGTTCACATATTCATTACTTATACCTGACTATCACTGAGGGAAGGCCCTTCTATCACAAAGACTTCCTTTAACTTGGGAACTGCAGGGAAGACAGTGGACCTTAAAGCTGACCAAATCCGTGTTGCACTGGCTTGAATCACAGGTCGTGCCCGAGCCCGTTTTCAAGCTGTCGTTAGAGCACGAAGGGTGTGTGCACATGTGCATGCGTGTTGGTGTTCGACAGAGAGGAGTCTCGTACCAGTGTCCCCTGTGTCTCGGTCTGGCTTATGATCTCTCATGATGTGTGCTAGTCGGGTCTTCTGTTCACTGAGGTGGAGCTTTTCCCTATTTATGTCTCTCTCAAGCAGTTCTGAATGCATAGAAGAGTAAAGCAGGATATAGAGGTCTACGTTAGACCTGTTTGTTTTTGTCTTGGGAAGAAAATTGCTACTTTTTAAAAATGCGCAGGTACTCAAGTAGGTGATAGGAACCAACTGTAGATAGTATGATGAATCTAGACTTGGTTTTTAGTTTTAGGTCTGCATCTAGAATCCAGGGGTGCTGGAGCCGACAGGAACTTCCCTTGTCCCATTAGCCTTTCTTGATCACAGTTTACGTGAGTCCCGAGTTGTCAGGTGCTGCCGGACCTCCTGTTCACTGTTCCCTTTTCTTCTCTGTTCCTCGGTTTCCCAACTTCAGGTTAACCTCCTGAAGTCCACTCAAGTGCACTTTAAATCTTTACACATGTGGTGTGGCCCTGCTCAAAGGCTCTAAGAAAATTCAGTATTATATGTAGATACTAATGTAAATCAGTGTCTACATACTAATTTACATTAGTATCTGCAATACAGCATAATTAGGAGTTGATTTTTCCTAATACTAACAAGCTCCTTGATTTAAGTAAGGATTCTTCACAGATCTGTTTTTACCTAGCATGTAAATACAAACATAAAAACAGTTGTCGAGGTGGCGCACTTCTTTGTAGGAGGATAGAGTAGAGCACGGGAGGAAAGGGTCCATCTGAGAAACGTAGACGTGAAAAGAGAACTTCTGATGGTATTAAAGATTGGACGTTTGGATTTATAAACATTTTATTTACATCAGGGAACCAAAGATAGCAGAAGACTTCATTTACTATCATTGAGTCCATTTGATCTAGCAAGCAACTCTGAATGCAAGTTGTAACTGACTCAAATTTATATGTAATAGATTGTATAAATAAATCTAGTGTTCATCATGATATATACTGGTATTTTCATTGTCAGCATCAATATAATTTTAGATGACAGTTCCTTAGTCCATAGGGGATTGGATTTTTAAATGAGTTATAATAGTTCCAAATACAATGTTACTTAAATGTTGTAGGTAGTAAATTCTTTTCTATAATGAAATACGTGTGGCAGTATTTCAAATTATGTGTTTTAGAGTATCGCAGCTTCAGTTGGTAAAAAAAAATGCCAGTGTCCCATTAGCAAAGTAAAGTATAAGACACTGTTGTTTAAGGTGCTAGTGTGACCCAGGCAGCCAGTTCCTAGCAAGCTAATCACCCAGCTTGAAGTGGTTTCTGTGACAATTTTTACAGACTTATTAAAGGTTAGGCCAGCATATATGTCTGTGTCTTGTATTCAGTGCTTTTCTCCTCCCACAGTTATAACTGTTACCAGATTCATCTTTCCAAAGTCAGATTTTTAAATGATTTCTCCCCATGCATGGGCTCTTTTCAGAAATCTGTAAATGTTCTTCTTTTACCCACAGCTGTCATTGGTCATGTTGAGGTTGGCACCTAGTCCTCGTCATAGTCTGGTCACAGCTTACCTTCTGTCCCACCGCTGTACTCCATGCATCTCCTTTCCGGTTATCCACGCCGGTTCCTGGTCACGTCCTTCTGCTTGGGCTTGCGTATTCCTCCTACCCGATGACCTTACCTCCTTTTCTCCCTTTTGGTTCTATCTCTCTGTAGAGGCCAGTCTGGATTCAACTTACTTTACAAAGGCTACCTTGACCCTCTAGGCAGGAGTTCCTGGATTTGTTTATGGTCCCATCGCTTCTCGGCCTTTTGGCTAAGATCAAGTGTGTGGTCCTTATTATTTGCCTTTTAGTCGTGAGTTACTTCTTTTGCAAAACATAGCCTTTATCTTATTGAGACTGTAGGTTTCTTAAAAGTAGAGCTTAAAAAAGTTAAGGTCCACTTTCTTTTCCTGGTGCTGGAAACCCACAATATTGCTGATTTTTCTTTTTGTACTGAATAACTGTTTACGTTTATCTTCAGGCCTACCATTGCTTGTTCAGAGAACAATTGCCAGAACTATTGTATTACAAGAAAGTATTGGCAAAGGCCGATTTGGAGAAGTTTGGCGGGGAAAGTGGAGAGGAGAAGAAGTCGCCGTTAAAATCTTCTCCTCTAGAGAAGAACGTTCCTGGTTCCGAGAGGCAGAGATTTATCAGACCGTGATGTTACGTCATGAAAACATCTTGGGATTCATAGCAGCCGACAATAAAGGTCAGTGACGTTTCCTTCTCCTCTGCGTGTTACAGTCTACTTAATTAAGCCTTTTTACAGACATGACTTCTAAGCATTGTCACATTTAATGAGAAAAATAGATGTGTGTGATACAGGTTAGACCTACTAGGTCAAATGGAATATATTAGAAGCCTTTAGAACCAGGGAACTTCTTAAAGATTTCTTTTGACTCTTAATAACGTGTTGCTAAAGCTCTAATTGTTTTATAAAGTGTAAAGAGCCATTTGTTTAAAAAGCATCATGCTTTTGTTATTCTGCTTCTGGACAGTTAGTTATTAAGTACAGTCATAAGACAGAAAAATTATAAACTCAGGTTGCTCAAAATTTTGAGGTAGGATAGAACCCTGATACATGTTTCCATTTCACCTCTTCCTGACCATCAGGGCATTCTGATACCTGCTAACAATGTTGTTCACGGGGAGAATAAAAACAGCTCCTCCCGGTATTCTGTGTTTTAAGTTGCCAGGGGCTAAACAGATCAATCTTGTAAATAACCTCAGTGAAATAGAGACGTGGTTTCTCCAAAACCACCTTGACACGCCCTTGCTTGTTGCTCAGGGGCGTGGGCCTCATGGGTGCCAAGGGTCCAGGTCAGACCTGATGCTGAGGAGGCAAGGTGGCCGTGGCCGTGGGGGGTCAGCGTGAGTGGTGGCTGCGAGCCAGACTGCACACTGTACTTCACCCACTTGCTTGGCTTCAGTTACTGCCTTTTGTCACAGTTCCTGCCTTTATAGCCTGTGTCAGAGACTGGTGTTGCAACTCAAGCCTCATCATCCCCACCCTGAATCAGACGTTTCCCAATTTCCTGTTTTGTTAAAAATTCTATCATTATCTTTGAGATTGGTCAGAACCAGTCATCTTTTTCCTTCTGTCCCTTCCCATTTTCTTCACCAGTACCTAATTGTTTCAAACTGTGGACAGTGTTTAACCTCAGTTGGTAGCTATGAAAGATTTTATAGTTTTTCTGTTTGCTTCCCTGTATTTTCAAATGTATTTACAACAGGAATTCGTTCTTTATTTTTCTAACTTCTATTTAGGGAAAAATTTTAATATATAGAAAAGAATAATATAAGGAACTTCCATCATTCGTCTTCAATAATTATTAGCTCACTGCCAGTCATATGATCTCTGATTTCACCTACACTGCCCCTAACTAAATTATTTGAAGCCAATCCTAGATACCATATCTTTTCATCCATAAACATTCTCAGTTTGTATCTCTAGATTATGAAAGATCTTTTTATGAAACATAACCATACTACCATTGTCACTTTTTAAAATGTCTTCAAATATCTATTCAGTTTCAAATTTCCGCAGTTGTCTTCTTTTTTTTTTAACAATTGGCTACTCACTTTAGTATCTAAAGTCCACACATTGCATGTGGTTGGCATTTATCTTAAGTTCTTTATAATCTCTAGGCTTTTTCTTGTCGCAGTTTATTTGTTGAGAAACTGGATTGTTTGTTCTATAGGGCTTATCACATTCTGGGTTTTACTAATTGAAGGCCTATAGTGTCTCTGAACTTGCTCCTTGTATTATCTGAAAACTGGTAGTCAGCATTAAAGACTGAATCTGATTATGTTTTATTGGTTTCCTGAAAATATTTCCTATCTATTGTATATTTCCTGTTGAATATTTCCTGCATCAGGTCAGGAGACAGAATGTTGGATTATCTTTTTTTTGTGACCTAGAATCAGTGATGGATGTAGGCAGTGGTCATCAGTGGCTGCTACCAGTTCAATGTTACTTAATTTAAAAACAATACTAAACAAAACCAGGGACCCTAGTCTGACCAGGTCCTCAGTTTTCCTTTTCTTCTGCCTTGGACACCATTTAGCTTCTTCAGTTTGTAAAACAACCTTTATTATGTTCTGTGACTCTAGACTTTATTGATTTCTTAATAGTTGTCTTTGTTTTTTGAAACTCTTCTTACTGATTTCTATGAAGGATCTCATTCTACAAGTAGTAATTGCTCCTTTAAAGAACTAACCCACATTCGTGGCTTCAAACTCTATTGTAGTGGTGACTCTCAGATCTGCCTTTTGAGGCTCAAACCTCACCCAGGCCCAGCATATTTTAGGCACGTTCCAAGTCACACACACTGCCGTGAGTGTTTGCATTTACTCAGGCAGCAACCAAGCTGGTGCTGTCATCTGCTGGTCACCGTGGGAACTAACTGGCCTTGCTGGCTCTTCCCTGGCTCCTCCACCCCAGTTCCCTTCTCCTCCTTACTGAGTATCTTTGTCCTCCTGATTGAGTCCATTCTGCCCAGATAGCCCTTTGTACACGCACAGCCTCTTACGTGCCCTTTTTCCTTCTGCCTGTCTTGTCAGTTACCTCATAAAACACTTTCTTCCATCCACCTGTGGTCCTGTTTAATTTTTTTGTATTTGTGAGCCTTTCAGAATTCAAGCACACAGATAAAGCTAGTGATGTATCTGTAAAAGGAAAAAGAAAAGATGAAGAACAAGTCTATAAATAACTTGTATCATGAATCTCTAAATCCTTTTGAAAGGACTCAGAAATCCTCTCGAGAAGCTTCTGAAAACACCGTCCTTAATCTCTTCTAACCAGGGTTGCTTTCCTGCAGATAACAACCGTTAAAATATGGGAGCTGTTTTATGCCAACTTGGGTTTTTTCTTTTGTTTTATAACTCATGAGAAAAGAAGCAGTGCATTTTAAATCCTAATGTTCCGTGCATTTTACTACGTGTTTTAAAGAAACCTGTTACCTTCTTTTTTAAATGTTTGTAGTGGTCTTGCAAAGTAAGGTCTTCTTGTTGTATAAACGGAGCAGAGGCTCACTGGTTAAGAGACTTGTCTGAGGTCACCTGGTCAGTCGCAGCCCCTGGGTTTCAGCTCAGGTCGGTGTGACCTCGGGTTGCTCCCTTTTACTGAGCTGTGCTGCACCCTAGGATTGTGATACTTTTTTTTTTTTTCACAATTTCATGAAACATGGTTCTTCTTAATATTTCCAGCTACTTCTAGGTTAAATAGGCTTTTGTAGACCAGCCTGGCCAGAACCTTTACCTTAATTCTCATGGGAAAACACATTGCAAATTCATGGATCAGCTTACAAGTGAACTTTTGGCACACGCATTCCTAGTTCTTGAGGATCAGAATCACTTTATGTGTGTAACACCGGGTTCGGTCGCGCTTTTTCTCCTCCTGACATTTCAGTGCCTCTCAGCTTCCCCCGTGTTAGTGATACCGCTCTTTCTGTGTTTCTCTGGGCTGGAAACCTTGGAGTCTGGCTTCTTTGTGAATTAAAACATAGAGTCTGTCATTAAAGCTTGCACTTCTTCATTTAATCTCACCTCGAGTTTTGTTCCATTCTACTCCATCCCCACTGTGGCCACACTGGGGTCCTGACACTTCTCCTTCTCCTGCCTCCCTCCTTCATTGTTTCCCTCTGTCCTTCCAGAAACAACAGCTGAGCACCTGACCTGGACCAGCCATCTTTCTAGGCATTCAAGTTTCTAGCTCTGCCACTGTCTGTGTAGACTCCAGATCACTGCCTTCCAGCTATGCTTCCTTGTCTCTCAAATGGGATTAGTCATCCTGTCTTATCTCAAGAATAGGGGGCTTACTCTGAGGACCTAATGGTTACATGCATAAAAGTAGAAGACAAACTGAAAATATGAAAGAAATATATGCAGACTTAAGGTGCCATCATATTGCAGTTGTGGGATTTGGGCCAGAGAGTAAAGGGACAATATTTGAACAAGGAAATTGTAAATGTTCTACAGCCCACCTGAAATATTGTTGCTGTCCTTTGCAGACAATGGTACGTGGACTCAGCTCTGGTTGGTGTCAGATTATCATGAGCATGGATCCCTTTTTGATTATTTGAACAGATACACGGTTACCGTGGAAGGAATGATAAAACTCGCTCTGTCCACAGCAAGTGGACTTGCTCATCTTCATATGGAGATTGTCGGTACCCAAGGTAATGTGAAGCAGTCCTGTTATTTAGGCTCTGAAACCCCATGGATCTAGTGTCTGTTCACGATCCAATGTCAGTTTTGCAAGAAGGCAACCTAATTGGAGGTGTTATCTTTCTCTTGAACATCTTAGATGGAGTTAGGAATCAGAGTATTTTGAGAGATCCTGTGGTCATTGTAGTAGCACCGGTGTGTTTGTGAACTCAGTTAGTTCCCTACTTTGATTTTTGAGGATCTTGATTTTAGAATTCAAGTCTAAGAGACTATATATTTTTTTTATGTGTAGTGTCAAATGACATGTGAAGATGCTTTGTAAACATCAGCAGGCTGTATAAATGTTATCTGGCTAGCTAACAAAAATTATATTTGACTTTGAGATAAGGAGACTGCATGAGAGCATATGTATCATTGAAAAATTAAATACTCCGTTTTAGTTATGAAATTTTTATGCTATGATTTTTGTGCCGTGTAGGATCTCAGATACCAAAATACCTCTCTGCTCTAGTTATTATCCACTAATGACCTGGTTCACTCGAGGTTATTAAGTAATGAATGGCCCGGGTCTTGTGGGCAATGCGGGCTGATTGACGCTGGGACAGGAGAAGAGACTCGAATTTCAAAGAAAGAATTGTGATTGGTATTACCTTTTTAAAAAGCAATTCTGTTTTGTTTATTTGTTTGTCTTTAGGAAAACCAGCCATTGCTCACAGAGATTTGAAATCAAAAAACATCTTGGTAAAAAAGAATGGAACTTGCTGTATTGCAGACTTGGGGCTGGCAGTAAGGCATGATTCAGCCACAGACACAATTGATATCGCCCCAAACCACAGAGTGGGAACAAAAAGGTACGTGGGAATAAATAGTAGTATGTTCAGAGAGCAGTGCCTTTTCCTTCTCATCTGTACATATTTATCGCCTTTGAAACTCAGACTTTTGTTAGATTAGCCACAGGTGGAAAGAAGATCTTAAGGCTTTGCCCACCCTGAAACCAAGGTCACCTGGCTTACAGAGATGCCTGCTGATGAAAGGTGATCCTTCCAGAAGATATCATTGTTATGTTAATTACAGTAGCAATCAGAGCTAAGTTTCTAGGGTGCCTACTATGCGCCAGTCATTTTGAGTCTTTTTAATATATTATCTCATTTAATGCCCAACTCAAGTGCCGCCAGGTAGCTAGCCCAACTATTTTCAGTTCCAGAAAATATGCCTTTCTTCCTTAGAACTTTTGTGTGTGCTGTGCCCTAAAGCCTGCTTTTCCCTACTGTTTCCCTAACTTGTGTGCATCCTTTCTTTCTCCCGGGAAGGCTGTTCTGGCCTGTTAGGTATTCATGCCAAGAGTTCTCACAGCACACTGAACTTGGACCACTGAAACGCTTTACACATTATGGTGTAACTGTCCGTTTATTTGTGTGTTCCATTGGATTTCAGGCTGCTTGAAAGCAGTCTGTATTTCCAGCATCCATCACAGCACCTAATACATAGTAGGTCCTCAGTAAATATTTGTTGAACCCACAAGTCCTCAAAAGAATCTAACTAGGTCGGTGTGATTACTCAACTCCCAGAGGAACGTACTTCATGGAGGTTTTGTAATGTGGCTGACCTCTCTTATGGATAGATAGTAAGCTGAAGAGGTGAGATTTGAACCTGTGAACACAAGCTTGCCCTGTATCATAGCATGTTGCCAGAACATATTTTCAGACCACTGCCTTGGCCTTGGAGAGAGCCGAGCTTCGTTCTGTTCACGTCGTATTCAGGGTTTCTGGCCTCAACAGGGACTCAGAACTCTCAGCTCTGGGTTCTAGGCCAGGGGTTGTGCAGGGTCTGCCCCTCCCCACAAGCCTGCCCCCTGCAGGTCTTTGTAGGTCCCTATCTGTAACCTTAGTAGGGTTTTTAAAACTTAAGGGCCCTACAGTGCGGCATCAATAGGAGGACTGGCTCTCGTTTTAATCTATTATTTTCTTCCCCGAAATTTGTCCCTGCCCTGTCTTCCATTCTGTTTTAGTGAGGAGACTTCTAGAAATACATAGTCCCTGCAGAGTACATGACGAAGGAGGTGGTGAAGGTTAAGAAATTTAACAGTCAGAACTGTTCCCTGTGGCTCTCAGAGGAGACTGAGATCATAAGGCAGATCGCAGTGGGGGTTTAGCCGATGTTACGAGCTCAGTTGCACAGCGCTGCATCCGTGTGAACAGAGATGTCTGGAAGCATATTCGTCCAGTGTTAACAGTGTGCTAGTAATGGAATGATTTTTCACTTTGTACTTTATGTACTTTGGGAAAAGTTCTGTAAGAGGTATGAGTCATGAAAAAAAAAGAACTATGCCTAATGAGGATGAGAGTCTTACTATTGATTTTTTATTTTTAATTCTCAAGGGGTAAAAGAGTTTAGTAGTCACATGGCCACTATTCAGTAAAATAAAGTGCTGGCTTCCTTTTTAGGTACATGGCCCCTGAAGTTCTAGATGATTCCATAAACATGAAACACTTTGAATCCTTCAAGCGCGCCGACATCTATGCAATGGGCTTAGTATTCTGGGAAATAGCCCGAAGATGTTCCATTGGTGGTAAATCCCCCCCTTTCCTCAACAGTTTATCCTGAACAGAGATGTTACGCACGGTTGCGGTCCCTCGTATGGAAGAAAATTCCACGGGGCAGCAGACTGAGATTATGTCCACCCGGCACCCCTGGGGCGGGCCAAGGGAGGTGGAGGAGCCGGCACCGCAGGGAGGAAGCACCGCCACGTGCTTTACCTAGTGCACTGCCCTGCCTGGTGTGCTCTTTTCCTGTTTCCACCCGAATCTTGGAAAACATCAGAAACTGACCCTTTATCATCTTGAAACCTAGTTATTTAGAATGGGGAGCTGCTTCTGTGGCCACCCAGGAAGCTGTTTCGAACATGGACCTGGGTCAGGCTTGTTACCCCCACCCCCAACCCCCGGGACAGCAGTTATTTTCTCCAACTTGGAAATTAGATACACAGAGTACAGTACAGTCACACAGCCGTGACATTACTTTTTAAAGTAAGTTTGTTTTAACTTTTAAGTTTAGTTTCAGATTGAGCGCTTTGGGTGTTTCCTTGAGAAAGGCTCTTATTTGTTGGGGGCCCGCACTTGGCCAAGACTAGGGTCCCAGGTTTTTGAGGCTGTAGGGGGTAGAGTATGTCCCTATATTGTAGCAAAGAGGACGGGTTATTGACAGAGGCAGGCAGAGGAAGGTGTTTGCACCTCAGGCCTGCCTTGTAGGAGTCACAGCTCCGTGATGGAGGGTATAGCCCCGTTCCAAGTGAGAGGCTGTGCACCGGCAGGATGAAAACGCATTTCTTTCACATCACAGCTCTAGGGGAAAATGCCAATCTAGTCCTCACAGCTCCTGGTTCACTGTCATTAAAACCGCCCTTGTGATCCCACAGGACTGTTTACCTTCAAGGTATGGATGAGGCAGAGCAAGCTGCGGGCCCATCCCACTTACCTGGTTTAGTGATGGGGCCCGGTAGTCAGACGCTCAGTGTGTCTTTCCTGTCTGTTGGAAGAATGGTCTGGCATTATCTGAGTAAATTCTTTAAAATTGACTTTCTTTCTTTTTTTTTAAACCAATATAGGAATTCATGAAGATTACCAGCTGCCTTATTATGATCTTGTACCCTCCGATCCATCAGTTGAAGAAATGAGAAAGGTTGTTTGTGAACAGAAGTTGAGGCCAAATATTCCAAACAGATGGCAGAGCTGTGAAGTGAGTATTTCTTTCAGATACTGTGCAGCTTTCTAAACTGCTTCTGCCTAGGAAGCGGAAATTTGCTACTTTTCTTTAAGAATAACAGACACAAGAATTCCCTTTTCTTTCTTTTTCATGGCAATTAAACCAGTGAGAAAAAGCAGAACAAGTTCCTTTTCATGCTCACGTGTAAGCACATTGGAAGGGCCATGGAGTATTACTGGCAGCGGCCCTCAGAACAGTGCGCAGGTCTGCCCATCGCCAGAGCACCTGCGTTGTGAGTGAGCGCCCCCCTTCCGAAGGGGCCGCCTCGCGTGGGGGCGAGTGCTGGCGGGAACCGGCAGCCCTGTGTTCTAGGCCGAGCCTGGGCACTGTCTCACAGTGACATCCGGGTAACTCACTTCAGTTCTCTGACAGGACTTTCCGTGAAATAAGGAGCTTGAGTGAGATGATTGTGAAGACATTCAGATGGTTTTGTATCTTATTCATCCGCCTGCCTGTGTGATCAATCACCAGGAATTGGGGAAAATGCTTCCCAGCAGTGTCTGAGCTTCTCAACCCCAGCTCTTGCAAAAGCTTTTAGAAGTATTTTTGTAGTCGTAAATTTAAAGAATTTGTCAGACAAGTTTTATGTAGTCTCTCTCTAATTGTCAGCTGTTACTGATTATAATAATGTTGAGGCAAAGCATTCCCCTCCAGATTTGAAGTTTTGTACTTTAGGGGCAATAAAAAGCTAGTCACTAAGTAGTTGATTTTACATCTTAAAACAATGTGGGACTCAGCCCTGGCCAGTGTGGCTCAGTGGTTGGAGCATTGTCCTGCAACCAAAAGGTCGAGGGTTCTATTCCCAGTCAGGGCACATACCCAGGTTACAGGTTCGGGCCTCCATCCCCCTCCACCTCAGTCTGGGCGGGTACAGTCCTCAGTCGGGTCACGTGTGATCCCTGGTCCACGCATTTGCCTCAGGCAACCAGTTGATGCTTCTGTCTCAATGTTTTCCTCTTTCTCTAGAAGCAGTGAAGACATGTCCTTGGATGAGGATAAAATTAAAATTAAAATAAAGTAATAAAAATAACACAGGACTCAGTAGAACCTTTGACATCCAGAGAGCTCCTTAGCTCCCGCCAACAAAATCATATACGTAGGCCTAGATACAATACATCTCATGGATGCAAAGACTTGGCATGTTTCACAAATGACGTTGGGCTAGATTTTTGTCTTTTATAAATTTGATCTTAATGCTGCAGAGTACAAACTTGAGTATTTATGCACTCACTCAGTAATTAGAGCAGGTTATTCCTGAACAGATGGCTTTTGAAGTATAAGTAAAAGTCCACAGTTTACACTAAGACCACACATGCCACTTGCCGTCACTGTCACATTATTCTGAATTAATGCCGACACTGTCATTTTGGTTTTTCTCCATTTTGTTAGTTTTCTGTGTACTTATCACCGATTCAATTTTTCACTTTTCTAGGGTTTTATAACCCTCCACAGTTGAAACAGTCTGTAAAAATAGAACATGAACCTGACTACGGAAGTGCCTCACAGAACCTCCCGGCCTCCTCTAGTCAGACTGGCGCTCTCTGCCCATCTGTGCAGCCTTCCTCTGGGGGTGCCCCTCCCCTTTCATCCTGGGCTTCCCTTTGCCTCTTTTGTGCTGAGTCCTTCCTGGATCTCACGTCTGCCCACTTCTCGGTTTGCTAATCCCTCCCCTCCTTCAGGCCTCTGCCCAGATGTTACCTGGTCTCTGAGATGTTACCTCTCCGTCTATTTAAAATACCATCCTCTTGCCTAGCTCATTTTCTCTCCTTCCCTAAATGACATTTCTCATTAGCGCTCACCGCTGACAGTCTGTGTGGGTTGCTTCCTCATTCATTTTATGCTTTAGTCCTCTAGAACAGGGCTCCCGTCCCCACCCTGGGCCACAGACCGCTAGCAGCCTGTGGCCTGTTAGGACTGGGCCACACAGCAGGGTGGTGGGCAGTCCAGCAAAGCTTCGCTCACATTTCCGCCTGAGCTCTACCTGCTGCTCCCACCCCTGACCCCCCCCCCAGTCTGTGGGAAAACCGTCTTCCCCAAAATGGTCCCTGGTGCCAAAAAGGCTGGGGACTGCTGCTCTAGAATGTAAGCTGTATGAGGCCTGGGGTTTTGTCTGTTTGTTCACTGGTGTATCCCCAGCACCTGGGATGGTATCTTGACATGTGCTAGGCACTTGGAAAATGTTTGTTGAATGAATATATGCCTGTGATGGGCACTTTGTCCTTTTTAATCTGGAAGCAAATGTTCACTTCCAGGAAATGTTTCTGAAATATTTCTTTGATTTGTTCTCTCATTTTCCTCTGTTTTTTCAACTCTGATTATGATTATCAATGTTAGACCTCCTCCCAATTGGCATGTTTTCCCTCGTGTTACCCATTTCTTTGTTTTTTTTTTCTCCACTTTCTGAGAGGTTTATCAGCTTTTTAAAATCAGTTTTATCTCCCACTTCTGTAAAGTGACCTTTTCAAGGTCAAGAAAGATACAAAAAGCTATTACCATATTTTCTTTATTCTATTTGAGACTGTTAATTATATTTTTTCTCTGTGTACAGCTTCCATTTTCTCCAAGTTGCTTTTTGTCTGTTTCTGGCAGCTTCTCATTTTATGTGCTTTTCCCAAATGCCTGACCAAACTCATACTTTCTGTTTGAAAACAGGGCCCTGAAAGCTTGCAGGAAGCTTCATGCAGATGAGTGGAGCTGTCTGGCTAGTCTGGAAGGTGATCTGACAGGGTCGCTTCCTTGGGGAACCACTGAGGTCAGTCCCTTTAGGTCTTTCCTCCCGGGCGGCTCGCACTCCCCAGGGAAGACTCTGCCAGTTTCTTGCCTGGAGGAGGATGTGTGTGTTGCTGCCTGTGTTTTATGGAGAAAGCCTACGGCCTTAGCATTTAGTGCATTGCCAGTCTGGGACTTTCTCCTCTGTGTTCCCCGAGTCAGGAATTCCTATTGCACCCTCTCAGGTACAAACCTCCAGCTTATTGCTGGTATAGGGGAGGGGCAGGTTCTGGGGTTCCGATTCTTCCAACAGATGCTTCTATTTTTCGACTAAACTTCCCTCTAGAGGTACTTGACACAGTTAATTCCTCCGTTTAGGTTTAAGGTGGTAGTTCAGTGTGAGTCAAGTTCCTTCTTTCCCTGCACAGGTCGGGTGTGGGTTTGGCTTTTTCAGGTCTGCTGAGTAAGTCACCGTGTCTGTCTGCTTTCCGGCTGCTGGCACCAGCACTTCATTGACGGGAGCTTCGGTTATTTCTAGTCACGTGGTGTTACAGACAGCGCTCAAACAAACAAAAGACTTGTACACATGTCATTTAGAAAGCTTTTAGGTAAACAGTCTTATCCAGATCAGTGGAAAGTGGTACATGCATTAATTACAGTTTTTTATTTTTGTCTGTGTTTTCTTGCAGGCCTTGAGAGTCATGGCCAAAATTATGAGAGAATGTTGGTACGCCAACGGGGCAGCTCGGCTCACGGCCTTGCGGATTAAGAAAACTTTGTCACAACTCAGTCAACAGGAAGGCATCAAAATGTAACTGCGGCTTTGCCCGAACTCTGCTCTTCGTCAGATCTGCTCCTGGGTTCTGATTTGGGAGGTCAGTTGTTCTACCTCACCGAGAGGGAATAGAAGGATGCCGCTTCCTTTGGAAAGGTCGATTTACAACTCCCCAGGACTGCTGTGGACCCAGGAACCAGCCCTGTGGGTCCTCGCTGTGCACTATGAACTCTTCTTTCCCGGGACAGACACGGAGTGTTGTGTAGTCTACCTTTACTTTTTATTAACACAAGCCTTTTTTTACAGATGATTGCTGGTCTTAACTTTAGTGACCCTGCTGTGCTGAAGGTCATCTTAAGGGTAAAGGAGCTGGATTGCGAGTTACACGGAGCATTTCTTGTTTTTAAAGAAAGTGATTTACTCCTGGTTAGTACATTCTCAGAGGATTCTGAACCACTAAAGAGTTTCTTTGATTCAGACTTCGAATGTACGGTTCTATAAATTTCAGGATCTTAAAACTAACACTTAAAAAACTCTTATCTTGAGTCTAAAAATGACCTCATACAGTAGTGAGGAACATAATTTATGCAATTGTGTTTTGTATACTGTTATTGTTCTTTCACATATTCAGAACATTACATGCCTTCAAAATGAGATTGTACTACACCAGTAAGTGCCACTTCTGTGTCTTTCTAATGGAAACAAGCAGAATGGCTTAGAGCCTGTGCTTGTTAAAACCTGTAGTGTTTCGATCCAAAAAGTGTATTTATCTGGTAACATAGACCTTTTCTGTTCTGTTTTTTGGGAAGAGGTTTTGTGGTATGTCATTCGGTATCCCATTCTGAAAAATGCCTTTCTCCTGCCAAAATGTGCTTAAACCACTGAAGAGATGAAGCGGCATTCATTGTCAGTTGTTATCACGGTCACTTTCGAAGAATCTCACGTCAGGTTTTTGTGTTTCAGCAGTGTTGTCTGAGTGTGCTTCAAGAAACACGGGGTGGCACTCTAGACGCTTCTAGGGCTTTCATGTAAAGTTTGTAGCATCCAGACTAATTTTTCTAAAAGGGAGAATCTGTCTAGCTGCTTGTGAAAAGCTGTGTGGCGTTCTGTAAGCCATTTTGTTCCTTATCTGATCAAAGACAGTGTTATTTTTTTAAGAAATGAATTATGTTTCAAGTTAGCATATGGGTAATGTTAAGTGATAGGCCTTTTTCTAGGAGGGTAAAGGTAGTTAATAATTGGAGTAGGTACCAGGTGTGCAAGAGAGTCATGTTTGTCACGTAGGGGTCATTGTTCGGTGCAGTTTCTGTCTTTGTAACTAGGGTTAGATTTAGTGTGGCTTTGAGGTCTCACTACATTTTGAGGAAGGAAGCTTCTAATATTCTCTTTCCTTCTGTGCACAGATATTTTAACTGCCCAATTTCCATGGTTATGTAATAGATTCAGTGCACTCCGGATATTTGGGAGAGTGGTAGCTAAAGCATATTCTGAATTTAGGTTCTCCATTTACAGGTGTTTTTTGGTCAGAGTAAATGTTTCAAATAAACTGGTTATGGTCTTCTCACATGAACTGGAAACTAGCTTGTGGTAGCTGGCTGTTCCTTCCAGTGCTGGAACTCTTTGCAGGACTTGTTCAGTTTTTGGAGTTTTCTTTATCACTGTGATCTTACTCTGAGGGGGGCAGAGTGTCTTAGCTGTGCGGCGAAACTGGCTTCCCAGTGCCGCCAGTCCCCGGTGCGAGGGTCCGCATGACCTCGCCGGCACCAGGGTTAGGAGGAGAGAGCGGCCCTGGGTGCCGGCTGAGCTGCGTTCTGAAATGTCTTATCTCTTATTCATAGCATAAATCGGAAAGACTGTTTGGTCTTAAAACCAAAGTAATTTTAGGTAGAATAGATTACATAGGAATTTAGTGTTGATTTCATGTGTTTAAAACATCATGGGGAAAATGTGCTTAGAGGTTACTATTTTGACTCCAAATTTGAGGGTTTTTTTCTATAGTTACTGTGATTTCATCAAAGCAAATATATGAGTTTGAGAGGTTTGTTCTTATAATTGTGTTATATTTCCTGTTTCATAATCTCTAGCTCTGTGATTAGGCACTCTTTTTTTTCCTTTGCCATTTCTAAGCCTACCAGATCTTCTTTATGAAATCCAGGGGACCAATGCATTTTATCACTAAAACTATTTTTATATAATTTTATTAAGAACATACCAAAAGTTCTTGTCTCATTTAAAGTTGTGATACATGGTTTCTCAGTTTCATACAAGGTAATCAATTTTTGCTGAAGATGTTCTTTACTAAATCAAAGGTTGAGTTACAGTTGTACTTTTCCTAAGTGAATAAAATGCACTTTTGATGAATCAGGGAATTTTTTAAAGTTGGAATTTAATTCTAAATTGGGTTTACATATTACTGCAGCTGATTCCTTTTTTGGCGAATGATGGTTTGATAAGACTCAATTGGCTAATACTGACAATGAAAGTGATTTAAAAGATGAAGTAGATCAACCACAGGTAAATTTGACTAGAGTACTAACTTTGTCATTTAGAAACTCAGAAACTCAGGCTTTTTTTTATACTGCCTGTCTGTCTTCAGATGCTCACCTTCCAAGATTCAACTTGGCTAAAGTAACCTTCAGGCAAATGACCTGTCCACTTCCTTTTGGTCAGTACACCGGAGGGGTGGGGACGGGGGGGGTCTGGCCTAGGGGGGCACAGACATCCCTGGTCCTTCCTCTACTGACTTCAGCCCTGTCTCTCCTGCCCTGCCTTCCTGCTGATTCCTGACTCAGAGACCATGGCCTTGACAACCGTCCCCTCTCTCCAGCACCCTTCCCCCAGCAGTCTTTTGACTGCATAGCTGCCTTTGATATCTGGAGCAAAGTGGTCATTGGAAGTTGTGGGACATACTTTCATTTCCTTGATTCATTGAATGTCGCTGGGAGGGGTCTCCACGTTTAGAGATTGGGCAGATGATGGCCCTGCTGGCTGCCCTTCAGCAGCTTCAGCCTTGGCTGAGCACTGGCAGCTGTGGCAGTGGGGGATGTGCCAGCAGCAGCGGCCAGCTGTGCCCTGTCTAGGACAGGGTAAGGCCCAAAGCGCTGAGCCTGAAATTCTGCTGTAGTAGTAGTGCTCAAGAAGTGCCTTGAGTCGGTGTACGTGCCATGGCCGTCGAGAATTCCAAACGTCGGTTCTTATTACAAACTCTGAGTGGTCCTGTGGCCATTTTGCAGTTTATGCATGAACTACCATTTTTTTCTCTACGCCTGAGAACTGTCACAGGTAGAATGTTTGTAAAACAACATGGCAAAGTGCTCATTGAAATGCATAACAAAATCGGTATCCCGTTAGGCATGTCATATCAAAAGTTTACTCGTGTCCTTGCACTGAAAGAGCGGCGGTGAGTCGGCTGGTTTTTGGTTTCTTGACTGTGGTGTGGTGTATTGGCTCCAAGATGCTGCAGATTCCAAATTATGGTTCTGTTACCATTTGGCAAAAAATGTCGATTCTCACAGTTTTGAGATCCTTAGGAGTCGCTCTGGACATGCACCGCAGCTCCTTGTGTCTGATTCAGAACGCTGGGACGCCCGCGCGCCTCTGCCCGGGGCTGTGAGGCTTCTGGGACCTTCTGAGGACTGTCACCCCGTTAAACTTGTCAGTCCCGTGATGCAGTCGTATTTGTAACTGTAAACTTTGAAAAGGTGATTCATAACACTCAGCCTGTTTCTTTAAAGCTTACCAAGAACTTCAGTGAATTCGTTCTTATTTCCTAACAAGATTGGCAAGTGGATGCCATGAACCCTGTTTGATACCCTTCTTTCACACGTGCCAACGGGACGGGCGTTTGGTGTCTCTTCATATGTCAAGGAGATGCTTCAAAATATCAATTGCTTTAAACTGAAATTACCTCTCAAGAGACCAAGGTACATTTACCTCACTGTATATATATGTTTAATATTTGTCAGCGTGTTCTCCAGGTTTGCCGTTTTATTTCTGTAAAGTAGGAGTACTGAGTTGCTGCGTCACTCACATGGTACTGTACTGTGTATATTTGTGCCCAGGTAACATCATCTGTACTTTGTTTTCTGTGTCGTGTTGTATTTGTGCAAAATCCTTCGGCTTTATCCATGTAGTCTCTGCCTTTTTAGATGTGTACAGAAAATGTCCATATAAATTTTCCTTTAAGTTGAATGATTTTGAAAAGCCTGTAAAGAGGAGAGAGAAACAAAAACTGCAGTTCCCCGTAAGTTTTTAAAATATGTATATTGTGTTTGTAGTCATATTCTGAATGAACTGTAAATAGGAAGTAGAAGAGTGATACTTATGTCGAGTCCTAACACTACAGTAGAAAAATGAAAGCAATGCAAATAAATTACTTTCCCCCCCCCAGTGCTAGTGGCATAATTTAAAATGAAGTGTATACGTCAGAGTGGGCCATGCTTTTACCAAATGTAGTTGCTATAGCCCTGACTGGTGCGGCTCTGTGGGTTGGGCGTCATCCCACAAAGAGAAAGCTCGCCGGTTCAATTCCCAGTCAGGGCACACGCCTGGATTGTGGGTTTGGTTCCCCGGTCAGGGTGCATACGAGAGGCAACAGATCAGCGCTTCTCTCTCACATTGATGTTTCTCTCCAAAGAAAACAATGGACGGAAGATGAAAATAGGAGATAAAAGGGGGTGCTGGTGCAGATCAGTAATGAAATGTGCACATGTTGTGAGGAGCAGCTCTTACACACTTGGCATCTTAACATTGGGATAGATGCTGTGCAGGGAGGTCTATGTTTAAAGGGAGGCGTGAGTTGACAGACTGCCTGGTAATGTTAGACGCTTTCAAAGGGAAAAGCAGGTGGGAAAGGTTATGGACATCGACACTGAAGTGAGAACGGCTGCGTGGCACTCCTGAGACCCTCGAGAACTTGGTGGCTCCAGGACTCACAGGCTGGACTGGATGGATGCTTGATGGGTTTGGGATTAAAGGCACTACCCCAGCATTTGAGTTTTTGTCCAAGAGCTTTTATTTGCATATCTCACCTGATTTTTGCAATTGGATGGATGTTGACCAATTGGGAGGTGTCCTAAGGATTGAACCAGGATACCCAGGACAGAGGAATGTGGCAGCCCTTCAGGGGATGCCTGGAGGTGGCCTGGGTGTGGATTTGACCGAGGGTGGGGCCAGAAAGGGCAGGTTTTGCACGTGAGGCTCAGGGGCGGCCTCTTCTCCCTCGATGGCCATTCTAGCTGTGAGCTTTCACGGGAAGTCGGAGCTCAGCATGTGCCCCAGGGAATTCCAGTTTGGGAGGCTGTGTAGCTTGGGAGACCAGTGGCAGCTGGCCAAGCCCCAGCGTCAGTCTTAGTGTTCACCTCTGTCTCGAGGACAGTGAGATCAGACATCTCGTGGTGGGGGTGGGGAGCTGAACAACCCAGGTGTTGTCAGTATGTAGCCGACCTACCTAGATCTGAAATGGGCCAGGGCAGTGACAAGCACTACCGGTAGAATACACTGTGGGTGACCCGCAGGAGCCCTTTTCTCTGGTTCCCAAACAGGGAGGGTACCTGGGTGCGTTCATAGCAGATGCTTCTGTGCCAAATTCAGGTCTTTCCTTCCTTTTCCAACTGTTGGTCTCACAGGAGTGTGCCGGAAGCTCCTTCGACTTAGAGAGGCTGAGCACCCTGAGGTTAGACTGCGGGCCTGCAAGCTCTGGAGTGAGTTTCCTATCTCTGCAGTGGACCCTGGTGCATCTGATATTCCTACATCTAATCTTAAAGCCTGCTTGGGATCTCTGACTCAAGACCAGTGAAAAGACTGGGTCCTAAAGGGCTATTCCTACACCTTCAGGAAGCTTCAGGGGCTGGGGTGGGAGCAGGACAAGATTTGGATACAACTGGCTTTCAGAAACAAAGGCAAAAAGTGAAAGGAGAATGTGGCAAAAAAAAAAAAGGGGGGGGTGGTCTTCATGACCTTGGGTTGGGCAAAGGCTTCAGTGTGACACAAAGCCAAATCCATTTAGAAAGTTGCTAAGTCGGACTTCATCAAAATTAAAGTCTGGGCTTTAAAAATAACTGTTCAGAGATGAGCTAGAGGCAGAATTCCCACATCATGCATCTGATAAGTGACTAGTCAGAGTGCATAACGCACACCTTAAGACAAATGATCCAATTTAAAAATGGCCAAAAGGCTTATATAGGCCTTTGTTTGAAGAAGACACCAATGGCTCAAAACAGTTTCTTAAAGATGATTGGTGAAATTAGCACGATGAAAACTTACTCCATATCCACCAGAATGGCCATAGTAAAAAACAAGCATTGGTGAAGATGAGAAGAAACCAATCTTCCTGTGTTGCTGAGGTGTGTGTCCCTTTGGGAAACAGGTGGGCAGTTCCCTAAATATAAACCTACCATGTGGCCCAGCAATTCCATTTCTACATACGTGCACACAGTAGGGCGGCCAGGTAAGACTCAGGGTGCCTGGTTAAATTTAGATTTCATATAAATAAGTTTTTAGTATATCTCAAATATTATATGAAATAGACAAAATTTTTATCTGAAAGTTAAATATAATCAGAGT